GGGTACTCTAGTGATTATAAACAGGAATTCCTTGGTACTCAATTATTTTATTCCCGCATGTATACGTAAAAATTAAAATATGTGATGTAATGCAAGATTTGAAGCAAAACTTGAAAGTTCCACCGAGACCGCAATAATTGCGAGTACACAGTAATGAAAATATTTGTCTTCTATTAGAATGTCTCTCTTTCAGCTTTAGTTATGTTTAGACTCTCTAGTTAAAATCATGTAAAAATGTAAGATATATTTAGTAGTATTATTGCATTTCTCAGAAGAGCAAACAAAAATTTGTAGGTTAAATTGATCGTTATTTTTTAAAAGCAAATTCATTGGTACATCACTACATTACATTGCTACTATTATTATATTGAAACACGTGAATAAAGAACCTCGAAATGGGCCATTCTGTGCGCAAAGGCAGGGACGTAAATTTTTCCGAGCCATTTCAAAAGCAATCCAAATAATGCTTTCCTGCCCGAAGCGTTCCCTGGTAAACATGCACACGGTCGGCGCGGCGTTTCGACCATCCGTTTACGCAGGTGTGTGGAAAGCCACAACTCGTCCGTCGGCGCCCCTTCCTGATCTCCCCCCCCCCCCACTCACGCCACCCCGCGGTCCCCCCTCTCCCTCCCCTAGCTATTTCCGTTTACGATATGTAAACGGCCGCGCCTTCGCGTAACGATCTACTTGTGGAAGCATAGAGCAGCCCACTTTTACGAAAGCCGTTTGCGCCCCGTGGCTGGCACCGGCAGCGGCAGCGGCGCGGGCGGGGGGAGGCGAGGAGGAGGCGAAGGGAAGGCGCCAGGCGAAGTGCGGGAAAAGCTGTGGCCCGTGCGTTAACTCCTTCAATAAATGTCGCACGTACCACAGGTAAGCTTAGAGGAGTTCCGTTACGCCGCTGTCGACTGGCATTCGCCTCTTGAAATGAAACTCGTTCTTCTTCTCTTTGCGCGGAGCTAAGCGCCTTTTTCCTGCTCTAAAGAACACGAGAGTCTCTCCAGAAATACAACGTCCAGTTTCTTGCCGGCCGACAAAGAAATTTTTTTCTTTGTGCTTCAAGTGCTCGCTTTACTTTTTTTCCTCCATCTTTTAGAAAGGCTTGTCGAGAGAGCTTATGCTTATAATACATATATCTCTAGGGTCAATTTTTACCGTTTCTGAATTCTTAAACAGTTTAAATAGTGTTTTGTAAAAGCTAAACTGATTATTTTACCCAATATTTTACTAAATAATTGTTAGTTTTATTATTTTATACGAAATTTTAGAATAACGAGTTCTTTGAATTAGAGATACGAAACTTCATTACTAAAAGAATACTTTTTTCGTCACTTATAGAGTTGTAAAGTAGTTTCATCTGTAAATCCTAAAATTTATTTTTCTTCTAAATATTTCACAAATTTTCAGAATATTAAAAAAATATATTATTTTTATTTTAATTGAAAACAGTTCAATTTTTTCTGAGGCTGCGTTTAACAAAATTGATGTCAACGTGTCATGGAGATGAAGATAAACATAAATACGTACTTTGCATTAGAAAAGACAGGAAATAATGTTGCCTGCAAGAGTCCGCCAGGTTAGTGACTAGAAAGAGGAACAAGAAACTGTTCCGTGTGTCTCTTCCCTTAGAAACACATTTTAAGAATGTTAATTTTGTCTTCACTATTGAGATTGCCTTCACTTCTTTAGTTGATAGAAGGATGTTTTACTGTTTTCTTCTTTTATATATAAACGGTTTTAAAATGTATGGTTTTCATTCATTTCTAATGAAATAGAGCTGCTAGAGTCATAAACTGTTTTTCAAGTTAATAAAAAGGGACTAAATATTTGAATTCACCATGAAGTCATTATTTGATTCACAAATCATGAACTTTCATAATCATAAATATAATAATCTAGAGAGAGATTCTTAAAATCTCAATTTGTAGAAATTAAAATTTCAGTTTTCAATCATTATTCTCTCGTGTCTTCTATTAGTCCTGTAAAACCACTTCTTCGGAATATCTTACGAATCGTTTAGACGAGGACATCTATTCGCACAACAGCGCTGTCTTCTTCACTGTCTTCTTCTTCTTCTTCTTCTTCTTCTTCTTCTTCTTCTTCTTCTTCTTCACTGTCTTCTTCTTCTTCACTGTCTTCTTCTTCTTCACTGTCTTCTTCATCTTCACTGTCTTCTTCTTCTTCTTTACTGTCTTCTTCTTCACTGTCTTCTTCTTCTTCACTGTCTTCTTCTTCTTCTTCTTCTTCTTCACTGTCTTCTTCTTCTTCTTCTTCACTGTCTTCTTCTTCTTCTTCTTCACTGTCTTCTTCTTCTTCTTCACTGTCTTCTTCTTCTTCTTCTTCTTCACTGTCTTCTTCTTCTTCTTCACTGTCTTCTTCTTCTTCACTGTCTTCCTCTTTTTCTTCACTGTCTTCCTCTTTTTCTTCACTGTCTTCCTCTTCTTCTTCTTCACTGTCTTCTTCTTCTTCTTCACTGTCTTCTTCTTCTTCTTTTTCTTCACTGTCTTCCTCTTCTTCTTCTTCACTGTCTTCTTCTTCTTCTTCTTCTTCTTCTTCTTCACTGTCTTCTTCTTCTTCACTGTCTTCCTAGTCTTGTGGAAGCGCGCCAGGACAGACAACTAGCCTTCGGCCGCAGTGCGCTGTCCTGGCTCTGTACGCGACTTGAAACAAAATAGCGCCACGTGCAATGATGGAACGTATTGTAACACTCCGCGGGTGCGGTTGCAAAAGGTCGTTTATTTGAGATGTACTAAATAAAATTATGCATTTAATGGTGACTTGGCAACATTCATTCATTATACAGATGTACTTTACCACCGAGATAAAACGTATGCATTTTGATATAAATTCACTTATTGCTTTGATTTTCTCTGTGAATGATTCGCAATCCACTTTATGGATATTTGAAAATTTCACAATGAACATGCGATAAAACTATTAAACTGCGATTTACTTTAGAAATACGATTATAATTATTAGAATAGAAATGTAACAAATGCACGCAAAAATAATATTTTAATTTAACTAATTCATATACGATAATTCTTGGCAATCACACACATCGAAATTAATGCTCAATACCAATCATTTCAAACATATGACCACACGCAACTGTCTTCTACACTGCGCTACGTGCTTTCAACGCAAATAGTTACTGCCCACGTCATCTACTGTCCTATACTAGCTGCCACTGTTCACATACTGTACGTATTACAGCGTGCTCATCAGGCATATTGGGAACGTTCGTAGCGATTAGTTCTCGCCCACAGGAAAGTAGGTTTTCCTAAAGGAAGAAGCGGGAGGCGGAGACATTAAGCTTTTGTTGTGTCCTCCGGTGTACTTCTTATAGAAGCTTTTCACTGTGTATAACAACGAGTGGCGTAGGCTACGTAGGAGTCAACGTGGGCTCTCACCTTTATAAACAAAGAGTGTACGGTAGCCAGGTTAAGGGGGCCAGGGTTTCCTTGGAACATAACGGTTGGGAGAACCTCGTGCGTGTATGCATCAAACACTTGCGCCAAGACGGTGCAATATGGCAGCCAGGCTCGCGAGGCTGAGTCATTAGTTGACCGAAGCCCTGCGGACTTATAGTCTCTTGGTACTGCTGGTCACGGGGAGCGATGCCTGGTGCGTGCTCCAGGTGAAGAGTTGTATGCTCACGATATCACGACCGATTCTCAATCGGAATTAAGATCGCTCCTGCATCGAGGGCCAAACCAGCCTGTTGGTGCGCCAGAACCGACTTGATGTCCCAGGCGTACAGTCCTGTCAACTGGAAGCTAGATTTGTTGCGCACGCTTCAAAAAGTAGAGTGCGAATGCCACAATCAAAACCATCTTCAATCGGGTTTTGGATCGCTCCCGCGATCAGATAGTAGTCTATCAGACTAGGTATAAGTAGATTATTAAGTATATATTTGTTTTGTTTTCTTGTGAATAAATATATTGTTATACGAAAGCTCTGTGTCTGTTCGCTGTGAGTATCCATGACGTCACACTACTATCCTGTTCCAAAACTTAAAACCACTCGAAAGTGATACATGAAAGTCGCTGTTGTACAACTTCTTCCGCGCTGTTCTCAAGTGTTTACACAAGGCCAAACGGTGTCCAGCCAACTGTTCGCCAGATAACTGTCGTCTTGTAAACTATGCTTTAGAGTTAGTAGTGCTTATATATAATATATATATATATATATATATATATTATATTATATAATATATATATACGGTGCGGCCCGCTGCTGCATCACCACCCGGGTGGAAATGGAACGCCGGGTCTGTCGGCACTTAAATTCCAGTATTAATGTTCACTGATCCCGTCCTGGTGCGCACTTCCGCTTCTCCTAACCACTGATTAATCAATTTTTATCACCTCTAATCTCCCACTTAATGGCTACAATCAATTCCAAACTGTTGATAATATCACTATAAACTTGCTTGAGGCAACACAGCCGTCCGTGTTGCGCTCGCGGCCTCTCTCTGCCTATACTCCCAACCGTCACCCGCCTCGCCGTCTACCCCCCGATTTGACCGTTGTGGCAACGCGGCGGCGCGGCGTTACTACGCTGATCGATTTAGTGCTTCTTTAATTAGAATTAGTAATCAATTTTGATTGTTACTATGCAGAAACGTTCTTCGTTTCAATATATATTATATATATATATACATATATATATATATATATATATATAATAGTATATATTTGAAACGAAGAGCGTTTCTGCATAGTACAATCAAAATTGATATATATTATATATATAATTATATATATATATATATATATAATATTAAGATTTGAAACGAAGAACGTTTCTGCATAGTAACAATCAAAATTGATTACTAATTCTAATTAAAAGAAGCACTAAGCAAAGATATATATATATATCTGTGTATTGTCTCTCAGCTCTTTGACTACAGTACTTGGGAATATGTGTTTTGCATGTTAGCTACATGGCACAAAATTAGAGCAAAGTAAGGAATTTGTTTGTGTTTGTTGTGAGCGCAGCGCCCGAGGTGGTGATCGTGGACGAGCAAGGCAACGCCATCCAGGACAAGTACTACGAGGCGGACAGCACCATCCAGCTGTCGTGCATCGTGCGCCACGTGGCCATGACGGCGTCGGTCGTCTCGTGGATGCACGGCGAGCGCGTCCTCAACTACGACACTACGCGCGGAGGCATCAGGTTAGCCAACTTTCCCCTCACGGCAATACAGCGGCCCGATTTGAGGTCACGCGACAAAAATATGTGTTTTCTAGCTTAACGCAATACGAAAGAGGTTTTAGAATCTTGGTTGCTGTTAAACACTTATCACAAAATAACATATCAAATACTACGCACGAATAATTTCACTACAGAACTAAATAATATATTTTTCTATATGTACCCTCAATTTTAGTAGTTCAATAGTTAAAATGAATCAAACTTTAACTTATTTTTAAAAATAATATTTTCTTAGAACTTAATGACGTAATTCGTAAAATATATGCCACATTTCAATGTGTATTGAACTGTGACTCCAATTACGGAATTACTTTATTTTATTTATGAAAACCTAAAATATATTTCACCTATTCAGAAAACATAAAATTGATATTTGTAAACAAAAAATCCAGGCACGTTTTATGATCCTTGATAAAGTTGTAATTGCAAATGTTGGTATCGGGTGGAAGAGATAACTTCAGATCTGTGCCTCGTACGTTAATATAGCCTCTTTTATTACTTTACATTATTTTAAATTATTATAATTGTTTATAATAACTTTTAGAGTTTGTATCGTCTGAACTCTATTTTAATTGCATTTTTTCATATTCAATTAAAACAGTGTTAGGGGAATGTTCTAACATTTGTGTAACATCATATGTACGTAGTATTTGTTTTCCTTTGGGCAGTACTCCTACTCAATAACTGTGTGAAATTCGAACAAATGATTCGCAGCGAACTAAACATCAATCGCGTGTGTACATTCGCTGAGCGGTAATCGCGAGCTATTCACAGCGGAAGTTCTTGTTTCTGTTCGTGGCAGAAATGTTTCACTCTTTCTCTCACAATGCTGGTAATCGACGCTTTTTGTTTACTTGCCGTAATTAACAAGCAACTAAAAGGGACATGTTCGAGTTGGAATTACAAAATTCAGATAGCAGTTATGCTCTTTGAAATAATGACACTTTTATGACAGTTTTTTAAATAAGTACATGGAAGAGCCATAACATAATTATTAATTGTCTCTGACTAGGGAGGTCTCCCGGTGTGTCGCCTTCTAAAGTTTTCCATTGCGGTTTGTTAAAATAACAGAAAATAAAGAAACAATCCGTACTCAGTAAAGAAGTTGAGACCCCAAAAATTTTGCCTTCTGCCTCCCATGTCCTTAACTCTGTCTCTACCTCTCTGTCTCTATCGCTCGGTGTCTGTGTCCATCTCTCTCACTCTCTTTTTGTTTCACTGATCTTCCCTTGTAGAAATGAGGTTTGTAGTCTTCCTTCAAACCCATATGGGCCAGGAACTTCTTTCTCCTGCCCGTTCGTACTTCACTCCTAAGCCACCTGACACACTCCTAAGCCTCGGACTAGTCAAACGAGGCCACGTTTGCTGGCTCAGCTCGTGATCGCGTCTGTCTGCTGCACTTTTTTTTAATTTGTAGCCTCTATATCGACGGAACGCGTCTCCAAACTCCACAAGAAGCGTTATGGGCACTGGAGTAATCCTCCGTTAATAAGCGCCATCTGGGGGCCGCTGGGTAAACAAGTCACAGTCGCAGTTAAGTCAGGGAATCGCCGACATGTAGCGTCTTCGCGCTCGCGTCTCGCATGCGCCCTGCATCATCTACTTACTTGCCAGAATTGGGAGGGAATAAAGACAGGGGTAAGGTTTACGACGCTTCAAGGGAGTATTCCTACCCGAGCATGCAACCTCGTTTTGTCATAACGAAAAATTCACGTGAGGTTATACGGGGATTCTACGAAAATCGAACCCAGAACCTCAGTGGTGAAAGGCAAGCCACTGAGCCACGTGAGCGTTAAAACCCCCACTTGCTCCAATGACGCATCGGTCCTCCATATAGCTTTTTTACGAATCTCTTCATACAGGATATGTGAACTATCTCTAACCAACCCTTCTCTCGGCGTTGGCATAGGCAATCATTTGAGCTTCCGTTCAGATCTGTAATCCATTCTCCTAGTATCTGACCATCCTTCTTTCTCCGTAGAAAAAATGCGTGACTTGCAGCTGCAACATGTTCGGTCTGTAGAAAAGCTTGCTCAGCTCGTCTTTCACGTTTTCCCACTCTCCATTGGTCATTTTTATCACAAAAAAATTGTGTAACAAGTTCATGGTGGAGCTCCCAACGCTTCAAAAAATACTTTCTCGTGATGTTATCCGAGTCCCCATGGCACTCCACGTGCTTCTTAAATACCTCCAGATAATCCCCACTACTCTACTTCCGTTCGAAAGACTGGGTAGGAGGAATGCGAGCGCATACTGGCGGTCAGGCAACGCTTCCAAAGCTTTCATCACTTACGCCTGTTGCTGATGAAATGCCTATTGCTATTGCGCCATTTCTGATTGCATCTGATACAATTGCTGTGACGCTGTGGGTTGCTGATGCTGCAGCTGTTGTAAAAGCCTCAACATCTTAACCAGTCTCGACCACTCTCGCTGCCAGATTCGTTTTCATCGCCACTATTTTCATGCGGCCGGAAAACAGGGTAACTAATAAGTATGTGCAATATAGTACAGCAATTTTTATAATCGGCAATTCAAATCTAGGCAAGCCAATGTTCCAAATTTCTAGATGTACGAAATTGTGACTTGTCAGAGTTTTACCAGGGAGATGTTCAATCTCTCCAAAGCCCACCAAAACAAACGTGAACGAGAATCAAAAAATCACAGCATGGTCAAGTATAGTATTTGAGAATAGTATATCAGTGTACCATCATCACCAACATCAAGAATGACCAGCGTAATCCATTTTGTCTCCTTTAAAATTGATCCCGTCATCTTTTCTTCAGCCTACCAACGATCTTTGTCTTTTGGTATGCTGTTTATCATTTTTGACATTCTTGAATCTTTCATTGGATTAACATCGTCCTTCCAGTTTTGTTGATACTGTTTAATGGTTTCAACTGGCTGAATCGGTTCATTCCAACGCTGAATGTATGGTATAGATCTCGTTTCCGTTAAAAAAATTAATTCTCGGAAATTGCAAATTTCCTATTTGGCTTCTTCAATCAACAGTATTAAAGATCGATATATATCCCTTTATATGCTATTCAAAGGCAGATGTTAAAATAACGTCATGTACAATTATTCGAAAATAGGAACAGTTTTTGCGTATCTTGTGCCAACCAGCAAACATTTTTACCGCGAAAATTCGACACACTTTTAGCATGATGGAGTGTGACTACTGTTTCAATTATTGCGGCGCTATTTCTACTCTATTTATTTCTTACTCGTTGGCGGCTCCTGCCGCTACGTCGACAAGGCTCCCTCCGAAGATGAAACGCAAAATTAGGCGACGACTCGACGACGCAGGAGGGGGGGTGGCTGTAGGTGCAATTAGGTGCTTTACCGTCATCACAGCATTTATATCTGTCACACTGAAACAGTCAGCCCTCGGAATCAGTAGCCACAGCCCCTCGGAATACTGATCAGGTGTCGTACGTTTTACAAGCAGTTTATGCTTTTGTGACGCCCATGTTTTGAAAGTCATGCAGCAAGACAGAGGCATACTAATACTAGCTCACCCAGCACCCACTAGAACACTATTGGGTCCAAAACCCGGGAGTAAAACATCTTTCATTTCGGTCGTTAGAGGATCATTAGCTAACCGCAATAAATAGACTAATTCAAACAGAGAAACTAATATTGCTTACATCTTTGCAACTGTAATTTCTTACATAACTTATTTCATTACATAAACGTTTCTTATGCATAATTGGGTATCTCTAGTAGAAGTCAGAAACCGTTACTTCATCACTCATGTAGCACGAGCGTAGATGTCACCGTTATTGGACCTCACAGAACATGCAACCACGACATTTCGTCCCATGGGGCGTGTCACCATAGTAACCAGAGCGGACTTAAAAAAGAAACGGATTCACTGATAATTGAGATTGTGTGTGGTGCACAACTTGCGACCATCACTAGCCACAACATGTGTTCAAACTTTTTTTTAATGCGTAAATAAAAGTTTTGTCACGTGGTTTCTGTGCTTCAATGACCACACATCCTTTGCATTCATAAGTAGTTTCACGTTCTTCCTACTTCAGCTTCCACTTCCTCGGTTTACCCTGCTCCATTTACTGCTATCAATTGCAAAGAACTACTGACCTACTTGCTAAATTGTTGCAGTGAAACTATCTGGTAAATAATTTCTGAGATTTTTGGGGGCAAAATATTTCATGTGATCAACAATGGTAGTATTTTTCTAAAAATGTATTTGTGTAAAATAAGAGTACAATATCAAAGTAATGCAGGTTTGCAAAGTAAAATGCAGGTTAAACATAGGAAACATAGCAGAGGCAGTCTTTTTTCTGAAACGTGAAATTAAATCTGTAGAATAGAAGCACAAATCTCAGAGGTGAAGAGTTGAAATAACCCCAGCATCCTGAAACAGAAGTTTTCTTTCTCTAACGAAAATTAGATCAATCACAGAAACTTGTCACAGGTACATTCAAAATATTTCTCTCAAATGTTCTCTTTAAATAAATCCTTCTCTCAAACTCAACTGTTTTTCGTAATGAACAGTTGGTGAAATGCATTCAATATTCCACTTTCATATGCATCGTCTAATATAAATTACATGCCCTTATGTCAATAGAAACTTTTCATTTCATTTACTTTACTCTTTCGTATCACCAGGAGAGCGTAACCATGTATCCGCCCCAAAAGAGTTTTCACAGAGCTGTCGAAATGAAACAAATGATCTGGCGCGCTGCTTATCTGGAAAACTGCAGTGGAATTGACAAGGGTGATTTCTCATTCTCTGTGACATTCACTTTCAGAACTTGACATTCAATAGACTGGTTTCTCTATTTTGTTCGTAGATCTGTCGAGGGACTGATGGATTCATAACACTGTTCTGCATTTGTATCGTGAAAACGGTGGACGGTTTAATTTTACTTTAACAATGAGAAACAATGAGGAGCCTGTTAAAACATTCATACGATATTCTTTTTGAAGTTTCTCAGTCATTTTTCAACCTTATATTTCAAACATAAAAAGAAACAAAGAAAGAATATTTGGACATGTCTAATCATTCCGCATTCTCCATCATTGTTTTAAATATGTAAATCACTTAGATAATTTCGGTCTTTGATGTGTGAATTCGAAGGCTCTGAAACATCATATATGCCTGGTATTGTGAGTGTATGTAAAAATGTAAGATATACTCTTCTTCTGGAAACGTCACAGAACAAATAAAATTATGTGCAGTAATCAGAAT